CCACACCACGCCTCGGGCCGCCCGCAGGAGAACGCAGCTGCCCCGGGTCCCTGCGCGATGGCAGAGGCTCAGCGGGGCCCCTCAGCGCTGGCCTGAGGAGAAGGGGGAACGTTACCCAGCCTGAGGGAAAGGAAGGCGGCAGGGCCCAGGACAGCAGCAGGGACAGGCGGGCTTTGGTACTGGAAGAGCTGGGGGGCTGCACAGGGGTGCCTCGAAGTGGTTCCGAAATCCTGCGTCGCCCTTACCCTGCCTTCGCACCTCTGAAACAACCCTCGGGGCAGCTTTGGAGGAGGGGTATGAGATGATGAACAAAATAAATCACCTTCGGAACACTTTATTCAGAGGCAAAGCAGTGTGGTGAGTGCAGGCAGAATTAAAAAAAAAAAAAAAAAAGAAAACCTGTGTACAGGATTAAGATCAACAGTTCACTCTCCTGATGGAATCAGTCAGTCTCTGGTGAGCTTGGAGATGTCCGTAAATCCATGGGACGTCACCATCCTTTCTTTTACCAAAAACATCCTCTATTCTTGCACTTTCCATGTTCTTCAGTGAAAAAATAATCTAAAATAAAGTTACTGTACAGATGGAGAAACAGGCATTGTAATCTGAAAGAGACAAATAACTCCTGTGAATATTACAGCTCCTCACAGGCACCAGAGGACACACTAAGGCACATATTTATATCTAAATACTAAAATTCATTACTATCATATTGAATCTTAATAGGCACCTGGGAAGAGAAACTGATTTTGCAGGAGGAAAGCTTCTAAAATTGATCTGCCTGATTAGATTGTGCCACAGCTGGTAATTTTTTATGATCATTTTTGCTCAGCATATTCAGCTATATATTTTTTTTAAATCTAATATAGCTCCTAGTCAGTAAATACACACACACACACTTGTGGCTGGTGTACTTGCAGAGGCCTGGCCTTTTCCTGGACCCGCTCCACATCTCATCTCTCCAACAGAATTCAGATGTCATCTGCTGCTGGCAGCACTCCCAGCCACCAGGAAGCAAAGCCTCAAACCATCCCACACAAGGAATGTGGCCTGTACAGATGGCTCAGGCTCTGCGTCAGCCCTGCTCCAGGAGTACATGGATGTCCCTGTACACAGAGCTGCTGCTCTGAAACACATTGCCACAAACATCAAGGGGAAAAAATCCAATTTACTTTTAACATTAAAAGGAAAGGAAAATAGGAGTATAATAGTTTATTAAGTTTTACTTGTGCAGTACAAATTCTAAACAAACACTCTGGGGCTTTTGTAAGGGACTGGGGGGGGAAAAAAACCTCTTTGAAATGACCTATGGGACTGAGCAGATCACTTAAATGTGTTTCTTCACCAAGAATAAACCTCAAAGAAAAGAAAGATAACATTACTTTGTTCCTCAGAGTCTTTTGTGTTTTTATGGCTATACTTAAAACTTACAACTGGAAGAAAAGTTAATAAATGGTATTTATATATAGGTGCCATTTAGCAAAACTGGTTTGTTAAACCCTTTTCCACTCAACCATAGCAATGGAGAAAAGCTTCAAGATATTTGTGATTATTACAAATTCTAGACTGGATTCTTACCTTATTTACTGACTCTTTGTTATTACTGTTGTTCCATTGTGAGTAGGGCTAATAGGTGCAGGAAAATCCAGTTCAGGGGCATCAAAAAAGTATGCCTGAATTATTACAGAGGAGACAAAGACTGTTTAGAGAGAAACAAACAGTTCTGCCTCATCCCACCTCTTTCCTTCCACACCCATTGTTCACCGGGTACAACCACAGCACTGAAATGGCAAATTTGGATCTCTTCTTGTTTTATCAGATTAGAAGTGGTCAATTAAAATCGTGCTCTAAACTGTACTGTTAAATGTAAGTTATCAGCTAAGGCCTTTGAAGAGACCTGTTCTGGAAGGGATTGGATTGCAGGTATTGTTTAGCTGTTTGCCGTTTACACTCATGAAGCTCCAACCAGACTCCAGCGACAGGAGCCCCACTGAAGTCAGCTGCCAGTCTCCTGCTAACATGAGAGTTGTGTTTTGCCTTCGTCTCCCTGCACACTGAGCTGTGGGGAGCCAAATCTACTCTGGAAGCTGGGGGGAAACAGAGCTGAAGCCTGGATGCTATCATTCTACCTACTGCAACAAAGAGACAAAAACTAAGTTACCATCATACGTGTAGATGTGGTGCTCAGGGACATGGTTTAGTGGGTTAGGTGGTGTTGGGTTGACGGTTGGATGTGATGATCCTTGAGGTCTTTTCCAACCTTAATGATTCTATGATCATCATTATGTATTTCAGTAGCCTGAGGGTCTTCTGTTTTCATAACACCGGTATTTTACTAAGTTCTATCAGGTTTATGTTTTCATACATAAAACTGATAAGCACACACTATGTATTGAACATGTAATCATTTAAAACATTAACTAAGGATTGTACTCATTGGAGTAAGCTGTGACTGGATACAATAAAGATTAACACTTTGCTGATACTATGGTGAATTCCAGATAAATTTAAGACTATTCTGCAAGTGGTTTTGTGCTGAAGACATATTTATTATTGAGTTTGTACTGGCACCGTCAAAGTCAGATTGCCATCATTTTGCTACGTTTGAAATAACTGGAACTTTGGAGGTTTTTCAGAAATCCTACTTCCTTATCAAAAAAGGTTTTTCAGCAACCAGCCAACCCATCCTTGCACCATAACGTGTCGCCAGTCCCAGATGACAAGAGGATAGAGGAAAGGAAAGGCAGCGTCATACCAAACAGCCAACAGCCAGCAGGGCATGAAGCAGAATAATCGTCCCCACAGTCGCCAACGCGATCCTACGGTTGTCATCTCGGACAGCAGGCCAAAAGGTCATCACCAAAACAGACCCCGAAAGGCACAGGGAGAACATCATCAGGACCCAGCGCACCACTTTCTGTGGAATGATCCATAGAATCTACAAAAGGCAGGAAGATGATTGCTAATGATCATTAAAAAAGACTGTGTGAAGCAGAGATCAATTTATTTAATGCGTTGTTCTTTGGCATTTCATCACTTCCAGCCAATTTGTGCACAAATTAACTCATGCCTGATCTGATATGTCTGTTATTTGAGGAAAGGCACACATCCCGACTCCTGGAGTTGCCTCAGGCTGCCTGCGGGGCTTGCCAGCAGCACCCTCGCTTGGATTTGCTGTCTCTGTCAACGTGACCTGTCCTGGGCTTTTCCAGAACCCACAAGACATCTTTACATTAGGCAAGCTTAAACAAAAAGCTTTATTCTAGCCAAGCAAAAGGAGCAAATTATTTGCCCAGTCCCCAAGGTTTTGACTAATATGAACAATATCATAAGAAATAGCAAATGTTCTAAACCAGGGCTGTTTTGCAGGACATTTACTAGAGGTGTGTGCTTTTGGCCATACGTACCGCTGTGGGAATGTAAATGAAGAGGGAGTAGCCATATACACACACTATCTCCAGGAATGAGTAGGAGACAATGTTCATGACTTTACTGTTCCTCCACATCAGGAATCCCCAGAGAGCGAGGGGAACAAGCCAAGCGTACGCATAAATTGCTGTTGCTGCTATGGACACTGGAAATATGACAAAAGATTTCACATTTTACTTAGAATACCAGCCAGAATCAAACGTGTAGAAGCATTTAGCCTGAAAACTAGAAAACTACCTTTGAAGTTACTTTCAAAATATGAAGTTTGAATTATTAATAAACTGAGACCTTTGCATTTACATCCAGTTTACACCCATTACTTTGTCAGCACTTCAAGTTAGTTTAAAAGTAAAGGCTCCAGAAAGCATTCTCTTGATATTTTCAACTCCTTCACTGGTTTCAGTGCAAAAGCAAGAGTCATGGAGAAAATAAAAACTTCATTAAAAATACAAATTTGGCTGCTAACAGCAACTGAAAAATGAGAATAGAATGCACACATGCTAAAAAATGTGAGAGAACACAGACACGAGTGTCAAATCTGAAATTATTTGAGTGACTGGATTCCCAAATGGCAGTGTTCTTCCCAGCACACTGTGGATTCTGGAAACAAACAGAAGCCACGTTCCTCTGCAGGGACAGCAGTCTCCTTCCAACTACTAGGACAGGTATAGACAATTGGCTCCTCACTCCGAGTTCTTTGGGGCATGTATCAGTTGAGCATCTTTTGCTTATTTTTGCATTTGCCAGAAGGTAACAACTCCCAGCCCTCAGCAGGTGATATGAGTAACATTCTAATTCAGTCATTTTCTGTCTGAAGCCTGCAGGCTCGCAGGAGGCCATGGATGCAGCAAGGCACCTACAAAAGCCCCACAGGGGCCACTGCTGGACTTCTGCTCTCTATACAAGGGGATGTTCACTAAGGCTAGAAAAAGAACTCTAATTACTCCTGCCTGCTCTACTAAAACTCTGTAACTACTTCATGCTCTGCAGGAGTAGGGTTCTGACAGTTACAGCCCACTCTAAGGACTTGCGTCATGTCTCTAAAAATTTAACAAAAGTAATCAATCAAAGGACTCTGCTAAATCAAAGCTGTGACCTGTTTTTACATTACTTCACTAGTGCACTACAAAAAAAAAACCAAACAAAGCCAAACTCGGGACTGTATCAACTACTTACGGACCTTTTCTGAACTGGGGTACATAGTGGTATGTGGGTTTGCCCAGATGGATAAAGAAATTCGAGAGATTGCCACTAACTGCAATGGTAAAGACGAGCGTGGCACATATCCAAAAGGGACCTTAAAAGGAAACAAACAAGTTGAATAACACATCGTCTGCTTTTTTTGGTTTTTTAAGGTTAGCAAATAAAAAGAAATACAAACTCAAAACATTTAGCACAGATGAGAACTTCTCACACCTCATACCTACCATAAAGGTCGGGATTGCTGCGGATGTACAGCCTTACAAAGTTCTTCCCTGGTACTGGGAAAACCGAACCTTTGATTCTGTCCAGGACCTATGAAAACACACAGATTTGTCTGGCTGAAGATACAAAATGGAAAAAACCTCAATGTCTGGAGAAGGCAGAGTTCAGACAATAGTTCTCCTCTGGAGCCAAGTATTAACCTGGTATGTGTCCACATCGAAGAACGTCTGGTAGTACTCGAATGTCCAGAAAGGGGCACTTTTCTTCTGTCCTGCAAGCAGCTGTATGGTGGGAAAGGCAACATGAAACACATTACAAGCATACAATTTATGCATTAGTAGTTCATTTACAATATAGTTAAATGATTTCTGTGCCCAGACAGAAAACAAACTGAACAGGGTGGCGCTTACTATGAATTATTTAATCGTTTCCCTTTCCCCCTCCAGTATTTGTTAGCAGTACGTAGCCTCTTCTCACCCTGCAAGAATAGCCATCACTTATAACACGTGCCTTCATCGGCATAACAAGATCCCTCACCAGCACTGATGCTACCTTAGCTTCAGACAACTCCTGGCTGTTTCCAAGTTTCCTGCCAGAGTCACCAGCCCCACAGCAGAATCGACAGAAACAAATATGGTGCTGGGTTTTCAGCTGCTGCTGCGCTCATGTCCTGGCATATTTGCTCAACTTAAATCCCCACCATTTCAGTTCCATTTCCTAGGCTGCAAACCACAACAGCTGAAGAGCCAACACACGTTTGCTTCTGCCAACTCTGCTATCGAGAAAGTAACCTGTGGCAGAGAAGAAGTGGAGTTCTAGGTCCCCCAGCATGAATCCCTGGTGTCTTCTAGAAATACCTCAGGGCTGTCGGCACCATTCGTACACACGCCAATGGAGGCACTGCAGGTCTAAGAGCATTACCTCTGTTTTATCGGAGTCATCAGTCCCCAGTAATTCATCATCCTCTTCTCTCCCTGGCTCCTGCAGGCGGCTGCGCTGATTCTTGGGGATTTCAACTGGCTCGTCAATGCTTATTGTGGTAGCGTCAGGATTTGCTGCAAGCAAATTAGCTGCATCGTCAAATTCTGCAAATAAGTACATTACAAGACAGGTGATGATGAAACTACCAAAATTTTTCTTCTCATGGCTTAAAAAACTACATTGAGACCCTTACACAGCCCAAGAAAGGACACATCACTAGCTCGCGGATCTCGAATATGTTTTTTAAAGGTTCAAACTGAGGTGGATGAGCCTCTTTCCCAAAGCCTGCCTTTCCCTCCTGTCCTCAGCTGCCACCCAGGGATCAGCAGGTCTCTGCACGGGGAAGCCGCCCTTCTGAAGCGACTGTAGAAATGGGCAATTTTAATCTTCTCCAGAAATTAGTTTTTTCAGTCCAAAATTTATCAAAAATTAAGGAATTCTGAAACGACTGCAGAGCGCTCAGCCCATCTTCAGCTTCCACCTTCCACCCTAGAGGATTTCAGTCAGCACAGCTCTTAGCTCCCCTCAGAGACCCGGAGATACCCCTGACAGCACCTGCAATGTCCCGAGGAACCCAGAAACGCTTCCCGGCCTCTCACCGCCCCACCTGGGCCCCGCACCCGCGCGGACCCCGGCGACACCCGCCCTTACCTTGAA